TAATAAAAAATAATGAGGGAAACACCCAGAGGAGAGCAAGAATTAGCCTTATGGCCCTTCCAAAACATCCAAGTAGCCTTTACTGAGCTTTCCCAGGTACAACAGTGGAAGTTTTTGCCAGCGATAGTAGATCACGTGACTCATCGGGTAGAAGTGGTACCCACTATGAAATTCAATGTCAATGTTGTGAGTAAAACAATTCTAGAATCAATCATTCCCTGATATGGGATGGCAAACAAGATTGATTCAGACTGAGGAACTCATTTCACATCAAAGATATTGCAGAAAGTTGTTCAGTCCCTAGGAGTAAAATGGGAATTACACACTCCATGGCATCCACAGAGTTCCAGTCAGGTTGAGAAAATGAATCAAACTCTTAAAAGAGCTCTAGGTAAGCTAATAATTTAAACCCAAATGTCAGGGATAAAATGTCTCCCTTTAGCCTTATTAAGAATTAGAACTCAACCCCAGTCAGATCTGAGGGTGTCACCCTATGAAATGATGTTTGGGTTACCCTTCCTGACCTCACCCCAGAAGGCTGCCACCTATGAGAAAGGGGAAGCCAATGCCAAGAAATAAGTGATGTCTATAGCACAAACCTTATAAGAGCTAAGATATAGAGGGGCAATTCCTCAAACTACCACCCTGGATTTCAGAATCCATAATGGGGATTGGGTGATGATTAAGCCATGGAGAGATCAGCCTCTAACTCCTCAGTGGGAAGGTCCCTTTCAGGTACTGCTCACCACTGAATCAGCCGTGCAAACTGCAGAGTGGGGATGGACTCATGCCAACAGAGTCAAAGGCCCAGGAGAGGAACCCGAAGAGTGGACTATAACATCCAGGCTGGGTGAAACAAGATTGACTCTCAAGCAGAGATTTACCAGCATCTGTTGAGGAGAAGTACACAAGGGACTGTAAAAGGCAGTGGGACAGCTTCCTTAAGAAAATAAGACAAAGGAAGGAGGGCATGACCAAGTTGGCCCCTTTGCTTGCTACCAAGAAGGCTCCATAGACCTGCTGTGGGTAGGAACCCCATAGGCATGGTAAGGTAGGGACAAAAGGCCATACCAGACCTCTATCATTCCTCAGTTGTCTTTTAATTCAACAGAAATTGGAAGGCAAGACTGAGTTGGCCTCTGTACTCACCCCTAAGAAACACCAACTATGGGTATCAGGCACATAGGCATTGTAGATGGGAGTCAAAGCCATACTGGACCTCTGTGATGCCCTTTTGTTCATTCCAAATAAGTGTGTCTAAGGAAAACCTGAGGTTTTTTCTGCTGTTCCCACTGTCCTTGCCCACATCAACAGATGCTGGTATGACTCATTCAAGAGAGACAGAAAATTTTTTACCTAACTGTTCGCACAAAATGACTTATAGAAAAAGAAAATGGGGGCTTGTTATAGATGTGTAATTCCATGGTTGATTTTCACAGTTAAGGGGTGAATATTAAATATATATGTTAAGAGAAGTTTTGTAGATGTATAGTTATCCTTCCCCTCTCCCTTGCATTGTTATCACAGGATGGCCTCAGTAGTTGGGGCATTTAGGAGGGTCGGCTTCTTACTGTTGCAGCACCTGACCTCCAATCAAGGTGTTAGACAGTGATCTCCACCACTGGAGAGTGAACAAGGAATCGATTCACAAGACTTTGGGAGGGGCTAGAGGTGTAAAAGACAGAATATCCATTTTGTAGATGAGCACACAGTGACTGAATTTTTGCTCCCAGCATTGTATCCTTTATTCAGTTTTTGTAGTATTATCATGAGGTCTCAATAAACAATTTAAATTTTTGAAAGTAAAAATAATTTCTCTCATGGGTTGGGGAATGTGGGGCAAGGTTGTCCACACTGGGTCAGCTCCTAGGTACAACTTCACTGACCTGGCCAGACCTCCTTAGGAGAGACCCTGGATCAACATCAATCACAGGATGATGCAATCACCTCTTTTATAGTAAGAACAGCAATAAAAGACACCCTTTAAGATAGGATTGCATATTTCTCAGAAGCTCCTTGAAATATTTCTCCATAACTGTAAAAGGAAATCTTCCTGATGAACTGCTCCAGACCAGAGAGAAATCAAGGCAGAGCCATGGTTTGTCAGGACTTGCTTGATCCTAATGAGCCCTGTGGTGCATTTGGAGCTGAGCCCTGGAACCCTGGGCCTGACGGGAGATCGCACAAACCTTTCCAGGAGTCAAAGTCAGTGGAAAACCCCAAAGTGTCTCAAGGCACCAATGGGTCTCACTGAGGTCCATCCCAACACAGGCTCCTCATGGACTCCTTAGAGGAGAGAATTGGAGACCAGGACGGCAAAAAAATTTCTGAGAGACTCAGTGTAGAAAGGAAATTCCAAAGTACCCTAAAAACCGTGAGTACCTCAAAGTATTAATGAGCACCACTGAGTGTCAGTACAGAGCTCTCAAGGGACTCATTAAAGCAGATAATTGGGGCCATGATTGCACAAACCTCTCAGAGAGTCTGTATCAAAAGGGAAACACCAAGTACCTTAAAATAACTGAAGTACTCTGAAGCATTAATGAGCCCTACTGAGTGTTGTTACTGACAAAGCCTCTCAAGGGACTTATTACAGCAGATAATTGGAGGCCGTGATTGCACAAACCTCTCAGAGACTCCAAGGCAAAAGTCAAACTCAAAGTCCTTTCAAAAACCTGCAGTCCCTGCAGGGAGCATTCAGGAGCCCCCAGGGCCATTCCTGAGCAAGGTTCCGCAGGGACTCCTTCCAGCAGATCCTTGAGGCCACTGGCATGTGGGCTAGGGGGGGATGCTGAGGGCAGGACAAGGGGCTGAGAGTGCCCAGCCTGGCTGGGGCTGTGCCAGGAGGCCCCAGGGCCTCAGGACAAGGTGTCTCCTCACAGCCCTTGGTGGCACAGACCCTGCTGTGCCCCAGGGCACCAAGACTTGGCTTCTCTTTGTCCCCACCTGTCATCACTGCCTCCAGTTCTCTGCTCTGCTTGGGGCCTGGGGACACTTTCTCAGTTGTGTCCCTCACTGGGACCCATTACAAGTCCAAGAAACTTTGGAGTTGGATTCTGACTTGGAGTTCTGAGAGGTTTCTTCAGCTCCTTCTCAGGGACTGATGTTCAGGGCCTGAGCACAAAGCCCCAGAGGCTCATTACAGTCCTTGTGCTGTGTCTGTGCTGATGAGCTGGCCTGGGCTCCTGGCACAGAGGCAGCTCCTGGTAACCAAGAAGAGCTTCAAAAGCACATTTCTCTTGATGAGCAGCTCTTCTGCCAGCCCAGCAGGGCTGGGGCACTGCCTGCAGCCAGCCCAGGCACAGCACAGAGGCACAGAGAGCTTTAATCAGTCAGGGCTGGGAAGGTGCTGAGAAGTGCCTGGGGCAGAATCACTGCCAGCCCTTGGCACAGGAGCCTCTGGCTGCAGGACAATGCAGCTGCAGCTCCTGGAGCCATGTCCTAAAGCTGGAACATCCCAATGCCTACAGACCCTGTGAGTACATTCTCTGATTGTCTCTTGTGCAGAGCAGCCAGGGGTGCCCAGGGCTGTCCTGCAGAGCAGGGTCCTGCAGCCCAGGGCGCTGTGCTGGGGCAGGGACTCAGCTGCCTGCCAGGGACAGCTCTCAGCCAGCCCTGGGGGACCAGATCTGGGTGGGAGGAGACAGCTGGTAAGGCTTGGACGTGTTCTCCTTGTGTGGAGAGGATGCTGCATTGTTCAGGACTGCTTCAAGGATGGCATTTAAGGCCACAGCACTTCCAACTAGATTACACAGGGAGCATATTGAAACAGGGGCTGCATAAAAGGGAAAATCCTGCTTTTTTTATCTACTGCTCTGAGTTAGAAATTGAACATACATATTCATCTCTCATTTCAGGTTGTGAAATATAAAAATAATCTCCCAATCTGAGTAAACCAGGAAGCAACAGCAATCAACACAGGACCCCCTAGAGGCTGCATCAGTGTCACTTTTTCTGCCTCCTCAGGGTCACTCTGACGTTACCATCAGAGCCTGCAGAGCCAGAGCTGCCCCTGGGCAGTGCCAGAGGTGGGAGGGATCTGCAGGGCAGAGCTGAGCCCCCAGGCCTGGGCTGGGCCCTGGCAGCACTGGCAGGGCCCAGCCCTGGGCACAGGGAAGCAGCTGCTGGCAGGGACAGCTCCAGGCAGCAGAGCCCTGGGCAGGCAGAAGGGGGGAAAGTTCCCCCAAGGCTGTGCTGGGATATTTCAAGTCCTCTCCAAACCCACCTATTGTTGTCTTATATATTACAACAGTTCAATTATCATTATATGTTGTCTCAGAGATTAAGAGTTCTGTTGTCTTACATTGTCTTGTATATCAAGAGTTCTCTTATCATTATTGTGCAAGGATTTCATACCCTCAGAGTTTCATACCTCCTCTAAGCACTGACTGTTCTTGGTCCTTGCAGCAGCCATCCAGTGACTTCTCTTTTATACCACTAGTTCTTATTGGTTACAAGTGTTGCCTGTTATCATCCAGCCTGTTTCTCATCTTTAGTAGTAGGGTGCAGCTGCAACTTGTTGGGGGAAGAGATTTCATTCTACATTACCCATACTGTGTCCTCCTACAACCTATTCCATGATTGCTTTTCTTACAGATCCCCATGCCAAGGCACAGCAAATGTCCAACAGCAGCTCCATCAGGCACTTCCTCCTGCTGGCATTGGCAGACACGTGGCAGCTGCAGCTCCTGCACTTCTGCCTCTCGCTGGGCATCTCCCTGGCTGCCCTCCTGGGCAATGGCCTCATCATCAGCGCCGTAGCCTGCGGCCACCACCTGCACACGCCCATGTTCTTCTTCCTGCTCAACCTGGCCCTCACTGACCTGGGCTCCATCTGCACCACTGTCCCCAAAGCCATGCACAATTTCCTCTGGGACGCCAGGGATACCTCCTACTCAGGATGTGCTGCTCAGGTATTTTTCTTTATGTTTTTCATTTCAGCAGATTTTTACCTTCTGACCATCATGTGCTACGACCGCTACGTGTCCATCTGCAAACCCCTGCACTACGGGACCCCCCTGGGCAGCAGAGCTTGTGCCCACATGGCAGCAGCTGCCTGGGCCAGTGCCTTTCTCAGTGCTCTCATGCACACAGCCAATACATTTTCCCTGCCCCTGTGCCATGGCAATGCCCTGGGCCAGTTCTTCTGTGAAATCCCACAGATCCTCAAGCTCTCCTGCTCACACTCCAACCTCAGGGAACTGGGGCTTCTTGCTGTTAGTGTGTGTTTAAATTTTGGTTGTTTTGTGTTTATTATTTTCTCCTATGTGGAGATCTTCAGGGCTGTGCTGAGGATCCCCTCTGAGCAGGGACGGCACAAAGCCTTTTCCACCTGCCTCCCTCACCTGGCTGTGGTCTCCCTGTTCATCAGCACTGGCTTTTTTGCCTACCTGAAGCCCCCCTCCATGTCCTCCCCATCCCTGGATCTGGCCCTGTCAGTTCTGTACTCGGTGGTGACTCCAGCCCTGAACCCCCTCATCTACAGCCTGAGGAGTCAGGAGCTCAAGGCTGCTGTGAGGAGACTAATGGCTGGATGCTTTCAGAAACATTAAACTGCTGCCAAATTTCTGAAAATCACTTGTAATAAAAGTCATCTTTGATACTTCTTGTTTGTTTAATTGTGGAGGGAGGAGTTCCCTTTATTTTAATTTTTTTATCTTGTCCACATAGAAATGTCATTGTTTGTGCCATTTCTCATTTTGTTTCTCTCCGCCTTCCCTGTGGTCCAAGACTATGTCAATGAGTGGTTGCGCTCTCAGTGGCATTAAAGGAACTAAAGGATCTCCCAGCAAAGTTTTCTGCAGAGATGCACTTTGGCTGCCTTCTCTGGAGCTGCAGCAGCAATGTCTGTGTACAGAGCAGGGGGCAGATCAGTGCTGGCACAGCAGCTCTGCTCCTGGAGGCCACACCATTCCTCATCCAGGACAGGAGCCATTGGCCTTCTTGGCCACCTGGGCACACTGCTGCCTCGTGTCCAACCTGCTGTCCATCAGTCCCTGCAGGTCTCTTTCTGCCTGGCTGCTGTCCAGCAACTCTGTCCTCAGCCTGTAGCGCTGCAGGGATTGTTGTGGTCAAAGTGCAGGACCCAGCACTTGGACTTGTTAAACCTCACCTTGATGGATTTGGACCCTGGATCCAGCCTGTTCCATGAGGCCCCAGAGCGTCCCAATGGTTTCCACATTTCTATGAGGTCTCCCAGTGTCACAATATCCCTTTGTTTCCATGGGACCCCTTGGTGCCACCAAGTCCCTTGGGTCCTTGGGCCCCACAGTGTCACAATGGTGCCATGGTTCCCCCAGGCCCTGCAGTGTCACAATCCATGGTTCCATGAGGTCTGGCAGTGCAGCAATGCTCTCATTGCTTCCACAGTGTCACAATGGCCTCTTGGTCCCCACAGCCACCATGGTGTCAAGCATGTTTCCTTCATTCCAGGAGTCCCTGAGGAGCAGAACTGGCCCCTTGGTTCCATGGGACCCTGCAGTGTCACAATGGCCCCATCTGACACCAGGTCCTGCTCTGTCACAATGCTCTGCATGGTTCCACAAGGCCCTGTGGGGTCACAGTGGCCTCTTGGTTCCATGAGGCCTCAGAGTGCCACAAGGAAGTCCTTGGCACTGCAGTGTCACAATGGAGTTCTGGTGACACATGATCCTGCACTGTCACCAGGGACCCTTGGTTCCATGGGGCACCATAGGGTCACAATTGTTCCCTCAGTTCCCAGAGTCCTTACAATGGAGCAATGGTCTCTTGATTCCATTGTCCCCAGGCTCTCCCCAGGGTCTCCTTGGTTCTGCAGTGGCATGATGGCCCCTTGGTTCCACAAGGCCCTGCAGAGTCACAGTGGCCTCTGTGGTTCCACCAGTACCCATACTGTCACAATGGACTCCTTGCTTCCATTCAGCCCCACAGTGTCACTATGGCCCCTTGGCTCTGTGCTGCCATGTCGTACACAGTGTCACCATGGTCCTCTTAGTGCCATCAGGCCCCACAGTGTCACAATGGCCCCTTGCTTCCCCAGGGCCCTGCAGTGTCACAATCATCAGAGAATCAACCAGGCTGGAAAAGACCTTGGAGAGCATCAAGGCCAACCCAACACCACCTTGTCACCCAGACCATGGCACTCAGTGCCACATCCAGTCTTTCCTTAAACACTTCCAGGGATGGTGACTCATCCACCTCCCTGAGCAGCCCTTTCCAATGCCCAATCACCCTTAGTGTGAAGAATATTTCTTAATGTCCAGCCTAAACATCCCCTGGTGCAGCTGAAGGCTGTGTCCTGCTGTCCTGTCCCAGTTCCCTGGGAAAAGAGCTGGACCCCCACATGGCTGCACACTCCTGTCAGGGAGTTGTAGAGAGTGATGAGGTCTCCCCTGAGCCTCCTCTTCTCCAGGATAAACAATCCCAGCTCCCTCAGCCACTCCTCACAGGACTTGTGCTCTAGAGCTCGCCCCAGCCTTGTTGCCCTTCTCTGAAGATGCTGCAGCCTCTCCATGTCCTTCTGAAATTGGGGGGCCCAGAAGTGGACACAGCACTCGAGGTGCTGCCCAACCAGTGCCCAGCACAGGGGAAGAATCACAGCCCTGGTCCTGCTGGCGACACCATTCCTGATCCATAGGAGAGCCAGGGGTTGGATGAGGGAAATGGCGGGGTGGGGATAGGAACAAAGTGTGATTGATTGTCAGCCATGAAGGGTCTTGACTTTCATATCTATTCAGACTGCATTTGAAGGGGTTAGGGGTCAATATCAACTGGACATTGCTGATACCAATCTATAAACAAGAAAAGAAAACTGGACAAAACCAGTTCTCTCTGCTTAGTTTTCAATATACCATATTCACTTTAAATACACCTCTGAAATCTGACTAATTAACCACAGAACAATTGAAAACTTCAAATTTTCCCACGGGGTTTTCTTGTTTAAATGTTTTAAACAAATGTTTAATAGCCTTTTTCACTGAATTCTTCAACTGAGTAGCTCAAGAAAGAAGAGGCCTCTGGAGGAGTAAAATTCATCAGCAACCTCCAAGGTGCTGAGGATCCATCCCCATCAGAGTGGCAATGAACAGAAATGGGCACAGCTTTGTGGCTGCCCCAGCTCTGGGATGGGCCCTGGGCCTGGAGCAGGAGCAGCTCTTGAGGGCCCCAAGGCCAGGGCTCTTGTGCTGCCCTGGGTAGATGGGATGGCAGCAGGGGCTGCAGAGCTCTCAGCACCTCAGGCCGAGGGGAGCAGGGCAGCCAGGGAGCCTCCTTTGGCCTTGGCCAAGCACCTTCCCCCATGGCTGGGGCTGAGTCCTGTGGCAGCTGCAGCTGCTGCTGTGCCCTTGCCAGGGGCTGAGGCCGTGGGGCAGTGCCCAGAGAAGCCTGGCCTGAGCAGAGCTGTGGGGCCAGAGCCAGCTGGGCTGGGCTGGGGAGAGGCCCTTGGTGCTGCCTAGAGCTCAGGGCAGCTGGCAGAGCTTGCAGGGAGCTGGGCTGGGCTCAGAGAGCCTGGCCTAGAAACCATCAGTGTCCATCTCAGCCTGGCTGAGCATGCAGGGACAGGACTCAGGCCAGGCCTTGTGGGGCAGGGCCAGCACCTGTGCAAGGCATTGAAAACAGGCAAGTGGCCCAGAGAGGAGGCTGCTCTGTGCCCTTGGTGGCGTGGACAGAGCAGGGAGGAGGCCCAGGACATTTGTCAGCACCAGCCTCTGTGCCCAGCCCTTGGCAGCCCTGGCTGCTGAGCCCAGCTTTGGCCTGGACTGAGTTTGGCTGTGGCCCAGCTCCATCGTCCTGTGGGGCTCAGGGCCTATTCGCAGCCATGGCCAGCCCTGGCTGCCTCTCTGCTGGCCCAGAGGCTGGCAGAGCCTGGGGCAGGGCTGTCTGTGCAGCCCCACAGGTGCCACGGGCTCTGCAGGAGCTGGCAGAGGCTGCCCAGCAGAGAGGCCATGGGGCACAGAGCCCCAAGGCTGCTGTGGGCACCACGGCACAGGGGCCGTTCCCAGCCGCAATGCTCCTGGCCTGGGCTGGGCCTGCACAGGCGCTGGGCCACCATGGCTGGGCCGGCGCAGGGCCACCAAGGGGCCACGCAGCTGCTGCCAGGGCTGACAGCAAGGCCAGGCACACAGAAGCAATTGCTGAGCATGGCCTGCGCTGGCCAGGCCTGACTGTGCCAAAGGCAGAGCTCAGCTGCCCCTGGGGGCTGCAGGAACAGTCCAGAGCCCAAAGAGCCTTCATGGCTGGGCTGGAGACCAAGGCTGCAGCAGGGAAATGCAGGGCTGCTGTGGGATGGGGAGGGCATTGAATTCCAGCGCACACCTCAGCTCTCTGATGATCCCAGCACCATGCTGGGCCCTGTTTCAGACTGGAGCAGAGCAGATGTTGATGGGACAGGGGCCCTGCAGGGCTGTCAGGGACCTGCAGCTTACAAGGTGCTCTGCTCTCCCTCAAGTGCTCTCTGAGTTATCCAATCCCAGCTGGGCATCTCAGGGCACAAGTGGCACACGGCACAAGCCATGAACTGGCTGTTCATGGGCACATAACTGATGTCAGCCTGGATAGGGGCACAGCTTTTATTACCTGTTAGTTTCATAATATACAAGCAAATCTTTATTATCTGGGTCATTTGAGTACTGTTAAGAAATGGCACAGTTTTCCCATCAGGAGCAGGAATTTCCTGGAGGTGTACAGATGGCAGGAGGAAAAATGCTGATCTTGCCTTCTACTGGTTTGACCAATATTTTCTTTATTACTTCCTCTCTATTTTCCTTCAGGTGTTTTCAGCTCTTCTGTTGAAAAGGCCATGTATAAGGACATCTCTTCCTTTACAGCAGGTGGATCTATGTACTTCTACTGCTCTCTCATTTCCTCCTCTAGATGCTCTCTGGTCATTCAAGTGCCTCTCAACTGACTGGCTTCATGCTTTGAGCTGGAAGAAATTGCCCAATATTTCTGAAGTTCAAATAAATATATAATAAATATAATCTTAATTGTGTTTTTATCTATCACAGAATTACCTTATGTCTTGGTCTAAAACTATTCCTGTACAGAAATCCCTTGGGGATGGTGGACATGTCAGATGCCACTGGGACATCACAGAGAGCTGATGAAAGAGCTGTGATGGTTGTTAAACTGTTCAAATATTCAACTTGTGTTTGTTGGCAAGAAACCTTTCTGTGCCTCTGAGTGTCACCAGTCCCTAAGCCCAAAGGACACAAACCTGATGAGTTGTGGTTCCCACTGCAGGGGCTGCACATGGACCTTGGCTCTGCACAGGAGAGCTCTTCATCCCCTTTCTCTCTTTTCCTCCCTCTGGGCATGGAGGGAGCTCCTGACTTCAGCGTGTGACTCGTGTGTGCAATGAGCAAATCTGGGCAGAATTGGGGCAGGGAGGGTTTGGGGGGACATTGGGATCCGTGCTGGGCACAGAAGGTGTTTTCCATTGCTCTCAGGCTGTCTGCTGTAGAATGTGGATTTAATACCCAGCAAAGGAATGACTTTTGCATTTGATGGAGCTGTGCCTTCCCTTGGCTTTGTTGGCTGACAAGAAATGAACATCCCTCTGTGTCTTGGGCAGCTCCTTCTCCAAGGAAAGTAGGTGGGAGTTGGAGCCAAGGAGCTGAAAGCTGCAGGTGCAGCCTGGGCTGGAGGGAGCTCAGATTTGCACAAGGCTGCTCTGAGTGCCAGGGCTTGGATGGGGGAAATGGTGGGCTAGGGGTAGGGACAGAGTCTGATTGATTGTCAGCCATGAGGGGTCTTGATTTTCATATCTATTCAAACTGAATGAGGAGGTACTTGGATTCAGTGTCAATAGGAGACTGCACAGACTGATTTATGAACAGGAAAAAGTCCCAAACAGGACCTAAAAAATGTTTTCTCACTGTCTTTTTAAATATAAAGCATTCACTTAGAACACACTACTGAAATCTATCAAATTAACCACAAATATTTGAACACTTAAATCAACACTTAAATCAAACTCCAGAGGCTTGGGTTCTTAAGGTGTTCTGAATGTTAATGAGCCCTGGGACACTGAATTCCTGCACTCAAGAGCTCAAGGCTGAATAAGCCTCTGGAGCCGGAAAATTCAGCAGCAGCCTCCAAGGTGCTGAGGATATCAGCAGCCCCCACTGAGGCCATCCCTGCCCAGAGACCGTGGGGGAATGGGCAGACAAGAAGAGTGTCCCTGGGGCTGGGGCAGCACAACTCAGAGGCACCAGCGGCTCCAGCTGGGCAATGGAGTGTGGAATGTGGCTGGGAAAGCCCTGCCTGGGCTGTGCCAAGCAGGACAGACAAGCCCTGACTCCCATCCACTAAAAAACAACTCTCTCAATGAGATATTTAAAAGAAATTACAATTGTTTGTGTACTCTGAGATGGACTCTCTAGAGAAATACCAACAAGAGATTCTCAGGAGCTCAAAACAACAAATCAGCCTTTACTGGCAACTTTAGAAAATCAGACAAACTTTGCCAAAAGATTTATTATGACACTCTAGTGGGTTTTCATTTGTTAATTTAAGATTTTTCTAATCTTGAGATTTCTTAATTGATGTATTGATGAGTGTGGTGGGTTTTAGTTTCAGTTAATTATTTATGGATTTACTTTTATTACTTTTTAAAACTCCTCTATGTCAAACTATGCCAGATATTTGATCAACAAAAAACACTTCTAAAAACATTGACTTGGCCCATTCAACTTCACAGTCTAAGCCTGGTTAACTTAATGTTAATCAAAATTTGCAGGAGCACAGAAACAGAAGAAGAAGACATAGAAAGAGAAAGACAAAAAAGATACAGAGAAGCACACAGACAGCTACCACCTCCTGGATTCCAGCAGTGTTCAGATGGAAATTCCAAGAGGAGGTAGGGTCAAGATGTGTGCTTGCCTTGTGGTCAGCCTTAAATACCCCTTGGTCTTGCTGGACCCTTCCCCCAGGTGGGCCTTGGGCTCATTTGGTCCCTCAGGAGCTGGGCTGGGGGCTGCGGAGGTGGCTGTGGAGCATTGCCTGTGCTGTGCCAGGGACTGGCAGCCACTGCTGGGCTGGGATAGAGGCTCTGGGGGGATTGGGGTTCCAGGGCAGGGCAGGGCTGGGGCTCCAGGGCAGGGCAAGGCTGGACCTGCCCCTTCCTCCCCCACACATGAAATGTTTTGAGCCAACAATCTCCTCCATTCTGTCACAACAGGGAATGTTGGAGGTGAAATCCCAATTCTGGCCATAGGCACCTGGCCAAGAAGGACAGCTCTTTTCCATAGGAAAGAAAGCACAGAATCTTGCCAAGTGTTTTGGGAACAGATGAGAGATGACCCTCATGAAACCACTGCCAGCCAGACTTGTCCTGGCAATATTCCTATGGGAACAATCCCTGGATATAAGGAAATTTGGAGGTGGGACTGCAATTCTGGCCATACCTGGAGCAGAATGTCAGATCTTTTCCATAGGAAGGAAGGCACGGAGCACCACTGTTTCAATAGTGGATGAGACCCTCAACATGCCAAGGTCAGCCTGACCTCTTGGGAGGTCAAACCAGCCAGACCTGTACTGTATTCCTTTGTTTTTATGGGGCCCTGAAGTGTCACAATGGTGCCTTGGTTCTGTGGGGCTCCACACTGCCACAATGGCTCCTTGATTACAAGAAGACCTGAAATGTCACAATGGACCCCTTGTTCGATGGGATCCCACAGTGTCACAGTGGCTCCCAGGTTTCACAATGGTCCCACTGATTCCAAGAGGCCTTGCAGTGTCACAATGGTCTCCATGGTTCCCCAGGCCCCACAATGTCACAGGACTCCTCTGTTCCATGAGCCCTGCAATGTCACAATGGACCTTTAGACCCTGGAGGTTTGCAGTGTCACAATGGTCTCATTTTGGCTCCACAGTCTCACAATGGTCCATGGATGACAGAAGGCCCTGCAATGTCACAATAGACCTTTGGCTCCTTACAGCCCTGCAGTGTCACAAAGGCCTCTTGGTTTCACCAGGCCCCATAGTATCAAAATAGTCCTCTTGATTCTGTGGTGACCCCCAGGGTCACAATGGTCTCACTGGTTCCATGAGGCCTCACAGTGTCACAATGCTTTGCTTATTCCATGGATCCTCATAGTGTCACAATGATCTCCATGATTCCATGAGTCCCCTCAGTGTAACAATGATCTTCTTGGCTCCATGGTGCCCCACAGTATCACAATGGCCCCTGGGTTCCATGAGGCTGTGAAGTGTCAAAATGGCCTCTCCATGATTACATAAGGACTTGCAATGTCACAATGGACCTTTGGCTCCATGGGGTCTTGCTGTATCAGAATGATCCCTACATTCCATGGAGCCACACAGAGTCAGCATGATCCCCTTGGTTTCATTAGGCCCAGCAATGTCCCAGTGCTCTCCATGATTCCATGAGGCCCCACAGTGTCACAATGGTCCCTTGGTCTCACAAGGCCCCACAGTGTCACAGTTGTCCCTTGGTTCCATGGGCCCTGTGCTGCTGCATTACCCCTTCCCTTTCTCAGGCCGCCCTGCCAGCTGAGAAATGCTCCTTGGGCCTCGCCCTTGGCCAACAGCCCCTGGGCTCAGCTCCTCTGAGCAGCTCATCACAAACACTGTCTGCTCCAGCCACTGCTGCTGCCCAACCAGCTCCTGGCTTCTGTAGGAGCAGCCCTGGGAACTGTTTTTGTTCCTTCAGTGGCACAACATCCCTGTTTTCACACTGCCAAAGAAAGCTGTTGATGCCAAGTGCAGCCAGGATGAACCATTGCTGGGACTGCAGCCCCTCTCTTGGGGCCCTGCAAACAGCGCTCCAAAAGGAGCCCTTGGAGCTCTCCTGGGCCAGCGACTCCCTCTGAGTGGGGCCTCTCCCAGCCGGGAACTCTCCCGTTTGCTGCACTCGGGGATCCTGAACAACGACGGAGCCTGGGCTGATCCCCACACTCCTCCAGGCTCAATCCTTTGCCCTTTGCTGGGGTAATGCCAAAGGATCCACAGGGAGCATTCCCTGCCCTCAGGGGAATTGCTTACGGGTGCCTTGCACTGACTCTTTGTGTCAGTGTGCACACAGGAGTGCCTGTGCTGGGGAAATGTAGCAGAAATGCTGCTTTCTGAGGGGCTTGAGTGCCTTGGACAGCTGAGTCAGTCAGGCCTGTAAGTAAGGTTACATCATGACAAATAAGTTAAGTTAAATGGTATTAAGAGGGGTTTTTCTTTTGCAAAGTTTACTATGTTATAAGCTAAGTTTAATATTTTTTAATGTTATTCCACTATTAAATCCTTAAGTCATTGTTTGTAAGTGAGGTTAAATGCTGTTAAGCTCTGTTCTTTTCCTAAATTGTGAAGTTGAAGGTATCAGTTAAGGTTAAGGTATCAGTGAAGTCCTGTTAAGTTTGACCGCTGTCAAGCTTTTATTTCTTTATTCATTTTATCCTTGCCCTCACTGTCCTTGTGTCTCACACACACTGGGACAGTTCTCAGCTCATTTCTGTTTGATTGCCTGGATTCTGTTTGGTTTTGTTGCTGCTTTGTTTCTTTGGTGGGCCTCAAGTGTCCAGTCAGG